TGTCATTAACACCTCTAGTAATATATTTACTGAGAAAAATGTTGACGTGTTCAATACTTATTTTACCCGCTGTATCCAGCCAGAAAATCAAACGGCAAATGGTCGATTTCAGGTAAAGTTCTCCTGTTCGTCTGTTTCGGTTTAATGGGTAACATTCAGGAAACTATCACGTGGAAAAAATGAGTCTCTCGGATTGGTTGATGCGACGCATCAAGCAGCAAAAGTTCAGATTTTCCAACTCACGCGGCAGACGCTTGAGACGTGCCGCGCATGCACTGCTTTGAGCTGCGCTGCTCCAAATGCGCCAGACGCGCTGCTCGGCTTCTAGACGCCCCTAGATGCGCGTCCACCATTGACTTTGCATGTAAACCAGATGCTCCTGATGCTCAAAACGCGTTTGGTGTGAATGTACCATTAGACTGCTGGAGCACAAACTGAGCACATTTCCTCACTCTGCTGATGTCTTTAGTCTCTCTTCTTTACACGTTTATTGTAATTATTTCTACCAATAACATGTTTCTTCTTTTTGTCTCTTTTCCAGAAGTAGGTGCATCTGGACCAGTTCTTCTGTGTTTACCTGTGTCTTTTTTGTGTCCCCCAACCCAGCCTGTCGAGGCAGATGGTCTCCTGTCCTGAACCTGGTTCTGCTGGAGGTTTCTTCCTGATTAGCAGGGAGTTTTTCCTCTCCACCGTTTGCTCAGGATGGGAGACTGTGATGAAGTGATTCAACACAATCTGCTGGCTTTTTCTTTAGATTGTTCTTTTTTTTAATGTACAGTGCCCTGAGACAACGTATGTTGCGACTTGGTGCTATATAAATAAACTGAATTGAATTGAATCTTAAAAACTCAATGAGTAAACATAAAAAAGCTGGAGACAATCCTTGCTGAGGGTCGTAGCCCAGCTACTACTTTCTGTATTTTTTAAATAAAATCCATGTAGTGGTTCATGAGATATTTTGAAAACACGCATACATATTATTGCCTGTTTTTCACCTTTCAGCAGCAGGCAATAAAATAAAACTGGCCAGTCAACATGTTTATTTATGTTGTCTGACTGTTTTTTTCATTGTGTTTCTCAGGATGAAGTCAACCAGATTGTGACCAGTAATGTTCGTCTCCGACAGGTAAACATAAATAAACAATAAATAAATAAATAAATAAAATATAAATAAACAGAAATAAACATTATAGCAGTAAAAATGACCTATACATAACATTGCTTTTGTTCATCCAATTTTGTACAAATTATTTTGCACTATTAACAATAACTAACAGTTTTCATGTTGTTAATTTATGTTTTGAATTAAAACATAATAAACCACAAATATGAATAAAAAAATTAGACTTCAGGTTGGCTCAGCTTTATTCTTGTCACTCCAAGGATGATCAGCTTGTTGTTGATTCTGATTACAGTGATTTATTAATAAATTATAATAATCATTTCAATTAAACTTTATGGCAAACTGATGGATGATGAAACAGATGTTCAGACAAAAATATGGATAAAAATATGAACTAAACTTTGTGTAATGCTAGCTGAAGCTACACCTAAGAAAAACATGGGGGAGGCTAGCGCCAAGTCAGTGCTGATGCTAGCAGAACTTCGTAAACTGTGAAAGGAAAATAATGAATCTTTCTGTGTACTAAAAACGTCCCTTAGAAGGATGGACTCCACCATGGATGAGTTGAAACAACAGACCAAGAGGCTTGACAAAAGATTGACAAAAACACAAGAAAGATAAAGTGCCACGGAAGATAGACTTGTACAGCATGAGAAGATACTGAGCAACCTGCAGTGAAGCTAAACTCACTGTTTAAATGTGACGATATGAAAAATAGACTACAGCGAAATAATATAAGGCTCTAGCAGAGATTAACCTATGGGCCGCGGCCGAGCGCCACCCTGAGGGCCTCAAAAGAACAACAGTTTTTAACTTTGGGCCGCAGAGGGACCGCATTGATTTTAAGTAAGGTGCAATACACTTTCTCACCACTAGTAGCAGTAGTGCACCACTCATTTGTTTAACAACATTTTTAATATGTAGAAGAATCTTAGAAACCTGCCGAGAATGAAAACTTATTTTAAAGTAGAAGCAAAAATGAAAGTAACTCATCAAAAAACACCAGTTTGTCACTAATATGAAGTGAAGCTTCTGTTTTTACTATGTAAT